CATACTCGGATCATCGTTACTGTACTGCAGGTCACATTCGGACATACGACCATACGGTTGCAAGCAGTGCAACTTCAATTTCAAAACGAAAGGCAACCTCACAAAACATTTACAATCAAAAACACATCGCCGTCGCATGGCCGAGAAGCAGAAGCAAGAAGTGATGGAACAGGACTCAGACAGCGACCACGACCGACTCGAAATCGCCAGCCCGGCGTGCAGCGCATCCACTTTCAGCAACGATCCGCTTTCTGATGATGAATGGTACTCGCTGCAGTTGTACATAACTTTGGCATTTTCGCTAGCCACTCCATCGTCGTAGCACACCTATGCACTACCACTGCAGAGACGCTATAGTCGAAGCTACATCGCCAGGCTGTCAGCTTACTGCTTCCTACACCTGATTCTCTTTTTCACCTAACCATAATTGGAGATGTAGCAGAAGTTAAGAGCATAGAGATATTTAGGACTGCAAATATGCTTAGAACTATGCTAAGATTGCGACCATGCTGACACTACATTTTACTTTCTTATAGATAATTTTACACCTCTTTGTACGTTTTTTACATCTATGCAATGCAAAAATGCATATTGTCAAAAGGTTGTCTGTGTGTGTGTGTCTGTTTCAAATTCAGGTTTCAAATTCAGCCTTCACCCACCCTGTGTGTATTTGTGTCTGTGTGCACGTCTGTAACGAGTTTTCATCTTGAGATCCACAAAAGCTACAAGGCTGAAACTTTGGTAACTTAGTCTGCACATACGTGCGGGCCCCTATCCTCAAAGTAAACGCGCACGTCGACTTGGTTCGCACGTACGAGTGCGTGGAATTTTTCTGGCGGGAAAATGTTTTCGGGAACGGCGCAAGGTAGGAGGCTGAAACTTCACATATACGTTCCTTGGCCGCGTCTGATTCAAAGGTTTCAAATTCATCCTTCACCCACCCCTATTTCTCACTTACGCACGCGTTAAAGTTCAGGCTGACATCATGTCGACCCCAGATTTAAGCTGACCAAGAAATTGTAGCGAGCTGTAATCTTGCAGCGTTGCTTGTTACTCACAGTTTTGCCTGCGAATGTAAATTGAGCTTTCCAACCTTTGCCCCTGCATCTGACTTACAGACGCGTGAAAATTTCATGCAGTTTCTTTTGTAATCTCATAATTGAAGTAGCTAAAGGGCTGGAATTTCTTGATCATAACCGACAGTGGCCTTTGACCAGATGGACGTAAAAACAACTTTCACGTCCCCTTCATGTTTTTTGTACGTCTCACCTACACATACCTGAAATTTGACGTAACTTTGTAACCAAAGCAGCTGAAGCGCAAAAACTTCCTGAACGTGACCCAGGGCCCTGTTTGAGTAAGCGCAGCACTATCGGCACTAACATTGCCAACCACGCACAAACACGTGAAATTTAACGTAACTCCACAACCAGAGCAGCTAGGGTCCTGAAATTTTCTGAGCTTGGCTCAAGACCGTTTGAGTAAGCCCAGCGTTAACAGTACTGACGTTGGCGCTCGCGTATGAGTGCATGAAATTTGGCGTAAATTCGCAGCCGAAGTATCTAGAGTGCTGAATTTTTTGGGCATGGATTGGGAGTCATTCTAATAATTTCTAATATTCGCCGCGGTTACTCTCAATTTTCTTAGCTAGAAGCATCTGCCGGAAAAAACAATGCCATTAGCAACAAAAACCTGCGGGGGAACTGTTTAAAAACGCATCTTTGCACCGGCAACCGGCGTGCTGTCGACTAATTTTGCTTATGGATCTATTTATTTGTTTCAGCTCGTCGGATGAGGAAATGCGACCACCTTGCAGTATCAAGAATAC